TCAAAAGAATCAAAAAGTAGATACAAAAAGCTTGAGCCTTGAAGAAAGGCCAAGCCCTGAGGAAGGGCATAGGCTTTCTTTTGGAGCAAGATGGCAGCCTTAAAGGTAAAAAAGGGTGGGAGCTCTCAATGAAATGTTGTTTTTCTCCACTTGACTCTGCCAGAGGCTTTTGTTCAGGCAAGTGTTTGGCCCAAATACAGCCTTCAGGAAGAAGACCTGTGCAAAAGGGTCTTTTCAGCCCTGGATAAGGGCAAAGCCTTGAGGAAAGGCTACAAAATAGTATGGCCAAATGGAAAAGAAAGAAAACACACCAAGTTGAGGAAAGACATCAATTACTAGAGGATATGAGCCCTCTTGGTCTGGCACTGCTAGACCAATTTGCACATGGGATGTCAGAGGCTTTGCTGCAAAGGGTGTTTCTGTGCCTGGGGGTTGTGTGGAGTGTTTCCTCCTTCACTTGCTCCAGCTCAGGGCCCTTCAGTGCAGAGCTTAGCTTTTGCAGCTGCAAAGTCTGGAGTGACTGCTCATGACATACAAGACCTTTCCAGCCTGGGAAACTTTGGGAGGAATCAGAACCATGTGGCTGGCCAATTGACATCGAAATTTTGCAAGAGTGAAGAGTTGGATGTTCCTTTCCCCTACTTCTTTGAAGCTCCTGTAATGAAAAAAGGGGCAGACAAGTGGTTCTTGGCCACTGAGAAGTTGGCAGTATTCCTGCCTCATGAGTGGTTTGCATGGATGCAGAGCCACTCCAATGTGTCAGGAATAAGCCAGCTGCAAACTTTCTGGGAAGAACATGATCCATCAGACCCCAAGCTACACAACAGCCCACTCAAAAGCCAAAGGGACCAGTGCCTGCCCTTAATGGTTCATGCTGATGGGGGTGCCTTTCAGAAATTTGACTCCATCACTATCATCTCATTCAGAAGCTTGCTGAGTGATGAGAATGCATCATCTTCTCAGATGCTCCTAGCAGCTGTTCCCAAATCCTGCCAGAACAAAACTGCAGACTTCAAGGATGACACCATGTCAGCAGTGTGGGAAGTACTCACTTGGAGTTTCTCACATCTATTTTATGGCAAATACCCAGAACATGATCACCTGGGCAAGGCATGGCCCCAGAAGTCTCAGAGGGCAGAGAAAGCTGGCAGTCACCTTTGGGAAGACAAGCTCAGAGGCACATTGTTCCAGTTCAGTGCTGATGGGGAGTTTTTACAAAACGATCTGAGACTGCCAGGGTGGTCACATTCATCTGTCTGTGTGCACTGCAAAGCAAACAAGTCCTGCACACCACACAATGATTATCGGCCAAATGCAAAGTGGAGGTCATCTTTGGCAAAGCCTGGCACACCTCTGCCTGGTGGGCATCCTGTGTCTAAGGTTCCTGGCCTGAATATATTCACTGTGGCCTATGACACTTTGCACTGTTTGGAGGAGGGTGTCAGTGCACACACCTTGGCAAACTGCCTATTTGATTTAATCATTAAACCAGGTGGCCTTGGAGCTGGGAGTCAAGATCAAAATTTGCAGAGAATGTACAAGCTTATCAGGCAGCAATATCTTGAACTTGGCATTGAGTCAAGCAATCAGATCAAAAAATTGACCCTGTCCAACTTCACTTGCAAAAACCAGAAGTATGACAGATTTCCTGAAATCACAGGGTACAAAGCCAGACACATTCGCTACCTGGTCCCAGTCATGAAAGAGATCATTCAGGAATACACTGACCATGAAGATCCCTATTGCAAACACAGGTGGGAGTGCCTGGTGAACCTCACCCACATGTATGACTTGATGGATTCAAATGGTCTTCACATGAGCAAGGAAGACAGCAAGGCATTCAAGAAGGTCTGTGACCTGACTCTTTTGCATTACTCTCGATGTGCAAAGCTATCTATTGATCAAGGATTTTTACAATGGAACACTGTGCGTAAACACCACTTAGTGGCACACATGGGGTACCAAGCAGCCTTCATGAACCCTCGCTTCATGAGTACATACTCAGGAGAAACCATGGTTGGCTATCAAGCTAGTCTTGCTCACAGTTGCCTAAATGGCAGTGCACCACACTTGGTGGCTGAGAAGGTCCTCTGGAGGTTTAGACTTGGCTGGCACCTGCGCTATCTCCATGGAGAGGAGGCTTTGTCTGCAGCCAGTGATGACTCTTGAAAGCCTTGAACAAAAGGCAGTGCCTTGCACAAAGGCAATGCCCTGAAGAAGGGCTACAAGAGCTTTGAAGAGACTTGCTTGGCAAAAAAAGAGACATCTTGCACTTGTGTTGAAATGAACATCTGGAGCAAGAAATTATTGAAATTGGTCTTATTGAAATGTAGGTTCCTTATTGGTTCAGGTGCCAAAATGTTATTGAAACACAAACCAATAAAATTTCCAGTTTTATTGAAATGCATAGCCATTATTGAAACAAGCGAAAGTTATTGAATTTTTTCAATAAGGCGTACTCTGGGTCCAGCCTATCCGAAATTCCGGAGTGATTATCATTCCAGCCTCAAGGAATTTCAGGATGCCGATCCGAATCATCCCGCAGCACCGGCCCAGTATCAGCTCTCCCGACTCGGGATGATGAAAAATTTTATGTTGGTCGACAACTGGGCGGACGTCAAGTCCAAGATCGTCAAGGGTGCAGTGAACATCGTTCGGCCACCCCGTGAGCTCGAAGGGGTCATCGATGAACTTGCCCAAACCGACGCTCGCCGGAAGGCGCAGCCGGGAACTGAGGCTGAGTCTTGCGAGTTGAAGGGCTACATGCTCGCCCCATGTGCGATTGTCCAGGACTCTGACATCGCGGGGCTGAGGAGCGCGCACCACAACCGGAATCGTCCGTGGGCGCGTGGGCAAGACAATATGATCTCGAGCCCAAGGATGTTGCCATCAATGTGATCCTTCGGATCCCTGTGGAGAAGTGTCGCACTCCGCTCTGCGGAAATGAGAATTGGCAGGGAGGAATCAAGCGCGACTACTGCAAAGCCCACCTGACGGTGTGGCCGGACGCCAGGATTGCCACAGAAGCGGCCAGGGCACAGGCTGAGGCAGATCTTCAGAACACAACTTGTGTGATCGAAGACCTCATCAAGCGGATCCCGAGAAAAGCAAGACAAACCAAATCCGCAGCTGAAGCCGGCGACACTGAACGTCGCGGTGCCCGATCTGCCTTCGGAGTCCTTCGTGACAACGCGAAAGCCCACATTCGTCAAGCCAAGAAACGTGGTGCCGCAACCCTTCGTGAGAGGCTGGAAACCGACCCATTTTATGCAGTAAATTGCGCAAGGGCGAATCTCACACCCGATGCACTCGATTTCCTGCAGCGGCTCGGACGAAGCATGAATCCGAAGCTTGGAAGAACAGCCGAGCAGAGGAAAGGCAAGAAGGGAAAGGGCACTGGAAAGGATGACCAGGCTGCGGATGAGCAGGAGGAGCTGGAAGCTCGTGCAACCCGTCTCTGCTTCATTTTGAAGCTTGACCGGGGTGACGACGATCCCGTCGATTTGGCTGATGAGGCGTTCGTGGCACACAAATGCCGGTTCTTGACCTTGGCGCAGTTTGCCACGTACGTCGACTTTGCAATCTTGCAGAAGAATCAGCCTCCGCCCGTGATCATCGGCTGGAACGATAAGCAATGCCAGCCGGAAGGCTCGGCCGAGAACATCCTCAAAGATCTTGTGTCCTTCGCCCGATTGAACTGGCCCGATGCTGCAAATGAATTTGGGCACAGCTTGAAGGTGATCGAGGGGACGCACAAGAAGGTCAGCGCGGTGTCTCGCAAGTCGACGGCGAACCAGAATCTTCGATCTGGATTCTTTCCCGTTGACCAGGCCGAGCATAAAGCCAAGAAGGGCAAAGGCAAAGGAAAAGCTCCAGCCTCCGGCTGCTTCGTGTGCGGGGGGCCACACTACAAGATTGACTGCCCTACCTATCACGAGCAGCGCCTCCAGCAGCGGACCCAATCCCGCAAGGGGAAGGGCAAGGGCAAATCCGATCGCCCGCGCCCATGGGCGCCAGCCGCACACCAGTGGCGAGTGGTGCCGAAGCCCTCGGAGGGAAAGGGCGCAGCCGGAAGCTCTTCTGATGCCGTGGTCGGGCCACCGGAGCGCACCATTGCCCAGGACATTGCAATGAAGGGCGCAGCCAAGGCCAAAGGCAAGGGCAAGAGCGACATTCAGCCGAAGGGCAAGGGCAAGTATGAGCCGCAGAAAGGGCAGTATAAGTCCGAGCCATACAAGGGGCATAGCAAAGAGAAGGGCAAGGAGAAGGGTAAGGGTAAGCCTGCCCAGGAGCGGGTTTACTACGGCGACCGAGAATGGTCCGGATCTTGGAGCTTTTCGTGGAAGTGGACTGCCTCCCGGGGATGGTACTGGGAGTGGGATCCATAGATCCTTATCGGCCATCAGAGTGTGTATCTTCCATGCTAGCGGGAACGTTAGCCGGAACGCTTTCTTTCTCATTCTAGTATGTGAAGTATTGGAGTTTCAAGCTCGCTACGCTAACGGGAACGTTAGCCGTCTTTCATCTTTTGGGCTAACTGTTTCAACAGCGTTGCGAACCGGAAGGTTTGCCGTGTCCATTTTGGCTGGCATGCCTAGTGCATTCATTTTGTCTATAATAATTCACGGTGCATGTCACCTATGGCATCTTGATTGGAGTGGTATTGCTCCCGTGATGCTAGGTGGAAACCTAAGCCGTGCATTTTGTTTTGCAGCATTCCGCTACGAGCGCAAAAGATCCGAGCCTCATTTGCAACTTTCTCCATTACAACCACGCATTCGTAGGTCGTGCATGTTGTACATAGCATTGCAGCCCGTCCTAAGGTCTATGGTGGCTGCTGTCTGCCTCTTCGGTGCTGCCAGTGAACTGGCGGCGCCGCGGGGGGTATTTTTCACAGCTAGTGTACATACATAACCCCTACCATACGTGGCTTTGGCTCAAGGAAAAAGGTGTACGTTTTAGGCTGTTTCCTATTTGAAATATTTCCGAAGCAACAAGAGGTGATCGATGTGTCTGGAGTGAAACTCGACGACGAGTCAAAAAGAGCGCTCCTAGATGCAGTAGTGGTGCCCGAGGGATGGGTTTCTTCAGCAGAGCGTATGGTGGTTTGCCATGGTTCTTTTCAGAAGCCGAAGCAAATGGACCACAGGTCGGTGGTACCAGACTTGTTGAATGAGATCGCAACGTTGCGGCCGGGGAGCACAGCCAGTTTAAGAGTTGTGACAGTTGCACGAGGTGGCTGGGCCGATATGTTCATCAACGTTTAAATCATTGAACATGACAAGTAACTCAATTGATCAGCGGCAAAATTCTATCGGCGGTTTGCTTTCCAGGTGAGAATACCATTGCTGTGGGTGTACTGGGGGTGCCTTCAGCTGACCGAAATCCACATGTGCTTGTCGCGACTTCTCCTGGAGCCCATGCTGTGGTCAAAGATTTACATTGGAAGCCTTGGTCGCCTAGCTGAGGCATGATGTGTTCCTTTTTATTCCCATGGTAGTGGTATACTTAGCTCTTGTTTTGGTGATGCGGAGGTCGTTAGCTGGGTCCAAAACATCAAGCCAGGCAGAAAGATGCGTTGGTCTTAACCGGGCACTTGACGGAGTGGCCCCGCGATCCGCCTGCAGCTTGACGCCTATGTCGAGACCATCAAGGAGAAGCATACGTATATCACAGAAAGCGCTCTCAAAAAGCACAGCAGGTGACATATGGCAGGATCAAATTCTGGACTGACCTGTATTCTCGGACGCGTGGAGTTTCTCAAAGCCTTTTGCGGAGCTTCAAATCTCAGGAGTGAGAAACCCGCCCAAGCAAGCACGCACCCGCGGAAAAAGCAGAGGGCGTGTGATTGGGGCATTACTTGTTTTCCCTCTGGGACTGTCGCGAGTTTTGTTTGACCAGTCCTTGATTATCCGATTATCTTTGATTGATTTACATACTATATACCGACGTTTCATTTGGACATGTTTAAAAACATAGTAGTGGGTATCAGGCCAACCTTTCGGCACGATTCAACCTGGCGGACGCGCAAGGAAGAGAGCGATTGCTGAGTGAATTGACCCAGACTCAAGCGGTTTTTTGTCCCGTTTCCTTCGAGTAAGCCGCCACCCAGTTGTGCTTATGCTTTGGTGAGGACACCTTGCACTTGTATCAACTTGTCTCAAGTTGGGACCCCTATAATTAAAATGCAAGGACCCACAAGGGTGCAAGAACGAGCAAACATAAAGGGTGCCAAGGATTTGATTGGACAGGCACTCTCCAAGGAGAGCAGCATCAACGAGGTGCTTCAGGCCACGCTGCTTGAGCTTTGTGGAACCGAAGTGAAAGATGTTTTGAACTTGAAAGCTTTATGTCTAGCTCGGTGTTACAAGGTTTGCATCTTGGGGGTGCCGAACGTTCGAGGCCGGCGATACCATCCGCCGACTTGAGGCACAGGGTGCTTGCAGTGAAGGGGCTGTGATACGATCAGTTCCTTAGGATCCTTGGAGCCCAAGTGGCTCAGCATTCAGAGGGGGCGCAGATCGGAAGTGAGCCCAGAAAGCGTTGAATCCTATGCTTTGTGCACGTGGATGCTTGCGGGCTCTTCATGCTTTCAAAACTCGGGACATGTGGCAGCTTCAGTAAGAAGCAAGTGGGAGCCCTTTTGCAGTGCCATTATTGAATTGCAGTTTGGGTCGCAGCGGTGGGCACTCATACAATGATCAGCACCTCAGTTGCAGGTTGTGAACTTGGGCGACACTTTCCCATCAGCGCAGGCAAGTTGTTTGTAGGAAAGTTCAGTCACAACCAAAGGTGCCGGCAAGCATTTTGACTTTCATAGACTGAAAGGACTGCCACGAATAAAGGACATGTGACATGTGACATGGGCTTCTAAAGCTGAAGACACAGTCACCAGGAAGTTTCAGTCAGTTTGCTGTGAGTGAGGGGTTCATGTGGATTCATGACAGCATTTATGGCTTGGTTTTGCGTGTGGATGGACTGCAGCTTTGTTGCTTGCTTTGCAGGTGGCCAACTCCTTGAAATTCCCAGGCGAGATGGTCAGGGTGCCCAGTTGGTACAGAACTGGGCAGAGGGAGCATTGAGCGATAGGCGTGCAAATCTCAGCTTCATTCTTAGTGGGTGTGGCCGGAAACTTGTTGGCCATTGTGCACTAGTAGGGTGTAGGGCGATACTGAAGCACTGTCCGCGTGCTGGTTAGGGCCAGGGGTCCTGCCTTCAGGACAGCTGGCTGAAATAAAGCTCGAGGGGCATTTGCTGGTCTACGCGGTGTCCGTTACAATTTTGGATGGCCTTCCTCTTCCCCATCTTTTCTAGTTCCAAGGAAAGGGGTTTTATGCAAGAACAGACATGGTCAAATGTTGATTACAAACATGTCCAATTTGTTTGCAGGCATACCTAGTTGCCGACTTAATCACCTTAGTTGTTATTAGTCTATATTTGATGTTATTTACAACATAGGGCGACGCAAAATGAAAACATGCAGTCTCGGGATCACCTCGAATCCAGTCTGCAGCCTGGGCTCTGAGGCCATGGGCCCCGATTCGTGGTCCACACAGACCTTGATGCGGCACAATCGCCGAGATGACCGCGGACGAGCCGGACGACCCCAGATGGGTTCAGTCTCCTTCTGCGGAGCGCGAGGCGACTCGAGGTCAAGAAAGATGTTTCGAACGGAAGAGGCGAAGAGGGTGTTACAATGCCACTTGAAATCATGTGTTACAATTGCCCTTAACTAAGAAAAAAACAAACCCTTTTTTTTGGCCGACCCCCCCCCCAGATCCGATGAACTAGAAGACTACTACTCACGAGTAAACAACGACCACCTACCAACGACCAAGGACTAACCAAACCATTGCCTTGGACACTATATCTGTAACAACAACGTCTCGTCCTCAACGTCGACGCACTCGGCGCAAGTCTTTATACGTTTGCCTTTGTCTTCCGCAGCTAGCTGTCAGTATCAGGTAAGTGTGCCTTTTTGTGGTATCCATTTTATTTTGGCCGACCCCCCTCGAGGTACTATCCCCCCAAGGTACTACCTGTGGGGCATCAAGCCCCCACAGGTCACAGGGTGAATGGCATTATCATCACCATTGCATTTGCATTGCCATCGCCATTTGCAATACCATTGCCCCAGGAATTGGCATTGCCATTGTGATCCCCATTGCCACAGGTCGAGGGTGAACAACGTCAACCTCCCACTCTCACAGGTCACAGGGTGCATAGCTCCCACAGGTCACAGAGTGAATGGCATTCCATCACCATTGTCATGAGCATAACCATTGCCATTAGCATTGCCACACGTCACAAGGTGAATAGCCATTACCATCACCATTAGCAATAACACCACTACTGGCATCAGCATGAGCATTGCCATTAACATTGCCAGCGCCATAAGCTTTAAAGTATTTTGGTGGCAATCAAGTTTATATTGCTAGCATTCAGGTTGGAAACTTTCTGGAAAAACTGTCCCGTTACCACGTGCAATACTTGCTGGCATGGCAAAGGCACAGTCTTTGAGTCAGCAGTTTCATTGTTTGAAAGAACCCGCACTGCTTCCAGTGAAGGGGTTGGCTCACTTTTTGGGCCACAGGGAAAATTGCATTATGGTGAATGGCATCAACGTCCCACATACCACTGCCACAGGTCAAGGGTGAATGACCATTACCAGTACCATTAGCATTGCCATGAGCACTACCATTGCTGTTGGCATCAACATCAAGCTCCCACCACAGGTCACAGGGAAAATGGCACTACGGTGAATGGCATCAAGGCCCCACTTAGCATTGCCACAGGTCAAGGGTGAATGGCCATTAGCAGTACTATTTGCATTGCCATGAGCATTAGCATTGCTATGCAATCTGTGTTCTGAATTCTCACCAAATCATTGCAAAAACCAGTGAAGTTGTCTAAAAGGTAGGTGTTTTTTTGATACATGCTTTCAATGGCATAAATGACAGAAAGGCAAATCTTCTTTTCGTTCCAACGGCCGTGTCAACTAGTTCTTTGGCTAATTTTGTGCATGTCTCACAACGTCGACAAGGTGTGGTCGGGCTTACCAAGTGGTTTGACCACTGGGTTGGCTTCAGGAGGTAAGTTTCTTTTCTCGTCGACTGACATCCTGTTCTCCACAGGTCCACAAGCTCATCGGCACTTTGCATTGTAGATTATCAGGGTCCGCATTGGCGAAGCCAAGAAGCCCGGCCCAGACGACTCGGTCGATGTGTGCCTAGTGAACCCAACATCGATGGCAAATCGAAAAGAACTGCTGGCGTCGTTAAGTGCCGACATACTAGCACTTGCCGAAACCTCGGCAGCAGCGATTATCCAACGAGAGTTTAACCAGTCCATTCAGGATACTCGGTACAAGATTTTCTGTGGGCAGGCAGTAGATGATAAAATGAAGACCTCTGCCTTAAGGGATAATAAACCCTCCCGCCGGGGAGAGGCTTTGGGCACTGCGATCATGACACGTGTCCAATCGAGGGCGGCCCGGATTTCCGACACGACCCTGTTGGACCAGTCATGCCGCTTTGTATCGTGCGTGTGCTGTCTTGGTGCAGTTGAGGTTTTGGTGGTCTGCGCCTATTTCTTTCCGGGTCGCACGCTCGACGCGCAGGCACGCAATGACATACTGTTATCACACATCTATGATTACGTGGCTAAAACAAGTATGCTTTTTGTCATTTCGGCAGATTTCAACCAAGACATACGAACGCTTACTTCATGGACCGCCCTTGCACACATAGGGTGTGAAGAAGGTTTTGAATGTGCAGCTAAGAGACTAGGGAAAACTCTCCCTCCTACGTGTCGGAATGCTACGATATTTTATTCCTTCATTATTCATCCTTTGTTAGTTGAAAGTCATCAGTAACATGTGGGCGGTAGGACCAGAACATATGTTTGCGGATCACTCACCGATCTATGTCCGTTTCAGTATCGATAAGATGACCATACTTCCACCTTTCTTTTTCGCGCCAGCAGACTGATCAATACTGGACATTGATAAGGATGCATATGCTGAACAGTACGAGGTAAGTGCAAATAAGAAGTCCTTACAGACACACATTGATTCGCCTTCTGATGCGGAGGCGAAAATGTTGTCACAGACAATTGAGGACGCGCTGAACTCGACATTGGTCATTACTCATCGAAAGGGCCCACACGTTTTCCTACCTTATGTGTTTTACTTATAAGTCCTGTTACGGTACTTATACTTATAAGTAACATAAGTATACTTATGCTACTTATGGACCTTATCCAAATAAGTAGCACAAGTGCGACGGTAAGTAGAACATGGTGTGTTTTTGAAGGTTTTGATTCTTTCTGTCCGCATGTAAATTTCAACCAGATGCAGCCGCATATTTTAAACACATATATATGGCTGGACTTGGCCGCTGAAGTCTGTCTGGGGCCGTGTATATATAGAGATCTCTCTGCGGAGGTGTCGGAGACATAACACAAGCAACAAAAAAAACGCGCGGCGCGGCAGCCCCAAACCACAAAAAACAATATTTCCCGCCCCAGTCTTCCCACAAATTTCCCACAAATGATTTCCTATTTTTTCAATCTTCCCACAATTTCCCTTATTAAAGGTAATTGGCAGGGTCTTTCCCACACTCTACCTCTCAAAAGTCTTCCCACAAATTCCCACAGTTTTCCCACAATTCCGGGCACTCCGTTTTCTTGCGCCCAGTAAGTGCTCTATAGTGGCCCAATGAGCCCGATAGAGGCTTCCAGCTTATACACCTCAGAGACCAGCACACCCACAGCGTCCAAGGCGTACAAGATGTCGGTCGCCAGCTGTCGCGGTATATTTGTTTCCATGCC